TGTGTTAGCAGCTGAGAAAGAGAAATTTATAACCAAATATGTAGAAGAATGTAAGAAGGCAACACCTGTAAGTAAAATAATTAATCTAGCTTTGTTTTAATCCAGCCTAATTTATTTTTAGGGAGGCAGCAATGAAGCAGCAATCACTAGGACTGATAGTGCTAGTGATGGTAGGGCCTTTACTGGTCTTAGTAAAGATGTCCTTTTGCTTATGCCTAAAGTCCGTGAGGATTGCTCTAAAAATATGCAATTCTTCCCTGAGAAAGGAAAAGTAGTCGTTTTAGCATCTTCAGAGGAAGAGAGGGAGCAATGCATAACACAATTTCAAAATACATATCAGGAAATCATTAAAAATCGTCAGTTGAAGTCCGGCAGTCTTGAAATACCACCTGCCTTTCAAATGGGAAATATGTTTGATTTATTAGAAGAGTGTGATGCTAAATATAGTCTATGTCATTTCTCGTGTGATGAGAAAGCTCGAGTGGTTAGGATAGTATCAATGTCATCACGTCAATTTGATCAGGCAAAGAAGCTACTAGGTGGTCGATTGGCAGGAGAGAAAGGAGATAAATGGGAAGAAAAGACAGGAAAAAAGAAAGAAGAGAAAGGAGGAGCCACTGGGGGCAGTAGTGCTGGTGATGGTAGGACCTTTACTGGTCTTAGTAAAGATGTCCTTTTGCTTATGCCTAAAGTTCGTGAGGATTGCGTTAAGAATATGAAGTTCTTCCCTGAGGAAGGAAAAGTAGTCGTTTTAGCATCTTCAGAGGAAGAGAGGGAGCAATGCATAACACAATTTCTAAATTCGTATAAAGAAATCATTAAAAATCGTCAGTTGAAGTCCGGCAGTCTTGAAATACCAACTGCCTTTCAAATGAAAAATATATTTAATTTGTTAGAAGAATTTGATGCTAAATATAGTCAATGTCACTTCTCATGTGATGAGAAAGCTCGAGTGGTTAGGATAGTATCAATGTCATCACGTCAATTTGATCAGGCAAAGAAGCTACTTGGTGATCGACTCATTGGACTGGCAGAAAAGAAATGGGAAGAGAAGACAGTAATGATAAAAAAAGAGAAAAGAGGAGGAAGCAAGGCTCTAGAAGCTACTGGAACTGGTTCACCTAAAGTATTATCAGTTAATAAAGGTCATACAGAAATAACAAGGTCTTCTTTACAAGTTGACAATTTCTCAACACCACCTGGCTCTCTTGCACCTCCACCTTATGACGGAAAGGAAAGATTTTCTCTGAGTAAAAACACTGATTGCAAAGGTATAACGATCATATAGTAATACTTCTACTGTAATTATTTTGTAATAGGTTGCTGCATTTGTCTGAATGAAGTTGCAACAGATCCTGTTACTATGAAATGTTGTAGTAAAGTATTCTGTAGATTATGTATTAATAAAGCTTTAGAGCATTCCTCATTGTGTCCAAACTGTCGAGTAGCAGTCAAACAAGTGAAAGGGAATCAACCACCAGGCACAATGGGGCATGATTTTAGTCAGTCTTCTTTACCTGGTTATGAGAGATTTGGGACCATTGTCATTAGATATTCTATACCTGGTGGTGTACAAACTAATGAGCATCCTAATCCAGGTATTATAATAGTATTAGTTTCTTCAATATTA